TGCATGTCCAACAGATCTATGTGCACATTCCAAAAGACTTCTGACAGCCCAATTCTCACACTGTTGTAGTGGTATGTGTCTTTACCTTTCTCCTGTTTTCCTATTTTCTCCAACTTCTATGTCCAGCTACACATTTCCCTTCTTCTCCCCCACCTCTTCTTCACCTTGTCTCCTCCCCTGAAAGCACCTCCCTACTCCCTATTTTTGCTCCCAGCACAGAATTAATGCAAAAGGTTGGATCTGCCATGTCTAGCAGACCCAATTACAGACCAACTTACCTGTAGCATATGTCTGAGCACAGGCTGCTCCTCAGAGCACAGGAAGCTTTGGTAGTGCACCTTGCTGGAGAAGGGGGCACCATGGCAGAAGGTGGTGAAGCACATCCCATCCAGCAGCTCATCACAGCAGTCTGGGCTCTGCTGCACAGAGACACCTTCTGGGGCTGCCTGGGATGCAGAGATTCACTAGCTGCTGAACCTGCTGGAGCAAGAGGTTCATCCAGGGATGGGCCTTATCCAGCCTGTTACTGCTGAGGTCTAACACCTGTAACTCCACCAGGTGCTGTGATACAGCCATACAGAAAATCCATGGCTGATTCAGACCTGCCTGCATGCAGCTTCCCTCCCCTCCATGGAAGACTGCTCACTGAGGCACAAGACTGGGGTAAGACATGATCCGTATACACCAGGTATATGACTCATATAATCATCTTTTATTTGGGTTTCTTTTGTTTTGTTTGTTTGTTCTTATTTTGTTTCTTTTTCTTTAAAAGTGATGTGTTAACATCAGGTATTTTTCTATGTTTTCAGACTCTGTACAGGTCTTAAAAGGAAATAAGCAATGGTTAATGTACAAAGTAAAACCAGAAAACTAGAAAAATCTGAATAAAATGGAGCAAGTTGCTGTCAGGGATACAGTACAAATTAGTAATTGGATGCCATTTGAAGTGCAATACTGCTGCAGTAAGGATGGGTCAAGGAATGAAATAAAAATACTCTATTTTAAACAAACAGAGTGTGTATATATATATATATATATATATATATGCATATATATATGCATATATTTTACAGATAGTAGACCCAGTGATATCTGTAGAATTGTAAAAACATATTTACAAATGACTTTTTTTTAAACATCACATATACATCAGCACCGTAGTAAGAAAAAAAAGCCCCAGTCACCCAAATCTAATAAACTCTGTTCTCTAGTACTTGATCCCAGTATGGAGTATTTGGAGGAAGCTTTACAAAGACAACAGAGACTTGTCTTCATGGCCATTTATCACCAAGGCCTGTATTTCCCTGATGCACACTGGCTTGCATTGGCTGCTGTGTGGTGGATATGTGTTTCTAAGTTCCCCGTTCCCACCTCCGTGTTGAGAGGCTGCTCTCACCCAAGGCACAGGTGCTGTACTGTCCCCAGCACTGTCCCCTGCCTAGCAGGGTGGCTGCCTCCTCACCCTGTCACAACTCTGTCACACAGGTGTGTGCCCTGTGCTCATGCTGACACACACAGAGCCACAGCACCTGGTCCCTTCAGGGTACTGCTTCTCCTAATGTTTGCCTATCCCTTCTATTCTGACCAAGAGATGCTGACCCACAGAATGAACCAGAAACACCAGGCTGGTGCTCCCTTTCACTGAATTCGGGCTCAACCCAGCTTCTACTGAAGCAGCAGGCATGCTAACCATGCTCATCATCCTCAGCAGGAGCTGGAATTTGCCCTTGTGCTGATTTTTAAAAAGGGTCAGCTAAAAGAGATGTGATTAAAGCCATTTTAAAATATGTAGCAGTCAGGGCAGGCTGGATTGATGGCTCATCTTGAGCACATTAAAAATGCAGGTTACCCTGCTGCATTGCAGCATTTGGAACAGGTAATTCCCGCCACTAGGCAAGCCCAGCAAGGGAAATTGCTCAAAAGGGAGCTTCAGTGGGGCACTGAGATGGTTCCAGACTCATTTGCTCTCCCTCTTTAATGTGATGCATGCCTGTGCTCCACAGGGAAAGGCTGATGTGAAACTGCCAAGTCCCAAGGCACTCAGCCTCCATGGAATTCAGGGGCTCAGCATTTGCCATCCCTGGGCCCAGAGAGAGCAGCACAAAAGGAGGTGATCAGGAGCTAGGGAACTGGGACTGGCACTAGTACACTGCTGCAGAATACAACTCATGGCTCACAGAGGCCAGCACTAGGCCAGAGGGTGCTAAAGCTCTGGACTGTGGGTCATGTTAACATTTTTTATATGCACAATATATAACCTGATAGGCAGCTCTCAGCTGAAAACTCTAAATAGAGTTAATAGGTTCCAGAAAACAGCCTTGAACTGCAGTTTGGGGGCCCTGCTGTACACAGAATGGCTGGAGAATTCAGTGTTGTGTGAGATCTATCACAACTTCATGACAGGGCTGCTCAGCATTGGTCCGAACAGTGGAGAGAATGATACATCCCTATTGTTTAAAACCTTATTTGGGCAGATCCCATGTTTGTAACATCAATTATTTTACCCACTCATTAATGTTCTTTACAGTAGTTCTTCACTGACTGCTGTTGTTTAAATACTGCAGTGAATTTTATTCCAGCAAACTTGGTTTAGAGATTAGATCAAACGTCTGTTTAAAACTGAACATATCACATTGAGAGTCCATACACCCTGAGGTAATACTACCTGTCAAACCTGCACTTTTCTAGAGGGGAGGTCTCCTCTCCTGCCCGGCCCTTTGTGGCTTGCCTGAAAAAAAAGTGCAGCCAGCTCAGCTTGCTTTACACTGGAAGAACAGGAGGGAAGGGAGTAAACTGAGAACATCCTGAGGAGGAAGGAGAGGGAGGGACCAGCTGAGGAGCTCTGCTAATGTCTCTTGGTACCCCTCAGTCCTTCAACACCCCAGGCAGCTGGACCATACCAAGTGCTCTGACTTGGGAAGCAGTATTTCAAGTCCCAAGGGGACTATTCAGTTCATTAAGTTAACCCATCACTAGGCTGTATCCAGCAGCAGTCACATAATCTGCCTTCACAACACTGCCAAATTTATGTTCTATGCTTGTAGTGGGGTTTATCACTCTGCAGTGAAAACAGTGACCTCCCTGTGATTGGTTAGGTTTGTCATGTGAGTGTTGTGCATTCACTTAGGACAGTCCATAGCCAGCCCCATCAGCCTGGCCATGGCTCTCTGAGACCTGCTTGCCCCCGGGGTTAAGCCCTTTTCTGACCAGGGCCTGTGCAACTGCCCTTGGATATCTGTAGGCTTTGCTCCCAGCTCTTCCATCTGCTTCCCTGGAAGCTGCAATGTGCACAGTCATGTAAGGTGGGAGATATTGGGCACACCCCACACCACTGTGTAATGAAGCCTTTTTTTAAGTGGGGAGAGAACAAATTTTCCCAGCCAGATGCAAGAGCTGGCTTTTACAGTTTCCCCATTCTGCCTCACACACACATAGAGTGGGCGCTGCCATGCGACAAAGATTACTTGGTGACAGTTTTGGGATGCTGATGTTTCATGGTTCCCTGAATCTTCCAAAGTTGGCTACAGATCAGCTTGGTTTGCACAATTATAAACAAAAGGAAACAAAATAACCCAAAACCAACACAAACAAAACCCAACAATCCAGGTATGGGGAGAACATCTGACTCCCTCTTTGCTTGTTCAAATGTAACAAAACGTAACCAAAGTTCCAGACTATACAATCCCATTCACCGGGGGTTTCCAAACAACTCATCAAGTTCTTGAATCCACTCGTCCCCTGGTCTACTCTTAATAATGGAGTCTACTAAGTCTGTGCCCTCTGCCAAACCGGAGAATGACGTCCCTGCTCCTCCATTACTGTAGTTATAAGATACGTCCTGAGTGGGATTCCTCTCATAGGCCTGACCTTGGCTGCTCTGAGCAAAGGTACCACCTGGCATTTGCTGTGTTGGGGGCTGACTGAAGCCAGACATGGCAGGGACCCCTTGGCTTATTGCTGGCATCACCACCGGCCTGGCCTGGCTGGCTGCCTGTTGCCCAGGTAGTGGTTGCAGTAACTGTCTCCCCAGTGCTGGATTCAGGGCTCTCACTGTCCCACTTGTGTCCACAACTGTCTGATTGAGCCCCTGTGGGAAGTGCTGCTTGGACAGTTGTGGCTGCCCAGACGGCATTGCATATGTGGTACCATTGTTGAAGGGCCCCATTTCACCACTAGTTCTTCCAGGTATGCCTTGCAAGCCTCGCTGCTGCCAGTTTTGTGCTCGAGGGACAGTCCCCATGAGTCGTGGTCCTTGTGGTCTTGGCAAGACCTGGCCCACAGGTCCTTTCATCTGCTGCTGATGCTGGGGAAGAGCAGAGTTTACCAGCATGGTCTGACCAAAATTGCCAACTATTCCCACCGCTTGTCCAGAGGCAGGCTGCCTCGTTCCCTGGCCTGCGTTGTGTGCCATGTTCATGCCACTTTGGTTTGGGTGCTGCAACATTTGGCTCATCCCTGTGCTCATGCTGTACATTCCTAGCTGGCCGGAAGAGGCATTGCTGTAAGGAGTCATACCCATATCCGACTGGCCCGCAGTGGTGGGCAGCGTGCTTGGGGTCTGCGAGGGACCCATGGCCATCATGCTCGCGTTCTGGGCCATCATTCGGGATGTTTTCATGCTCTGGAGTGCTACTTGGTTTCTCACAGCCACTATATCCTGGGGTGAACCTGCACCAAAAAGGGAGGAAGGTAAGAAAAAGCCCACAGCCCTATAAATCTTAATTAACACACTTTTGCGTAAGAGAGAATCTGTAGGAGTTTTCTCAGCAGCACTTATCTTCTTCAGCTACAGCTAATTCAACTTCAAGCAAGCAAATGGGAAAACTTCCACCAGTCTTCTTCATTAGCAGCAAAGCAGTTTACCACTTGAAGCTCTCTTTTAAATATCTCCATTGTCTTTCAAAAGTAATCCTTGAAAATGGAAAGGTCAATCTCAGAAGGCAAATAATTTTTTTTAATAGCTCAGGAGGCATAAATGAATGGATTTTCATTGCTACTGAGGAAAGAAAAATTGGGTTTTTGTGGACAATTAAAGCAGGGAGAGTGTGCTAGTGAATCAATACTACAAGCACATTTTACTTCACCTTAGGCCAGTGATGGGAAACCAGAAAATTAAGCCTTGTTAAGTTCCACACTGTGACAGATAACCATGCTTGTGTCTTACTTTCAGGGGTAGGGAGGAGCTATTGATTTCTGGGAAGCCAGAAGTGCTTCTGTATTTGCTATCTTTAAATAAAGACAATTACCTGTAGCTCAGATTATGCCATGGGTTCACTGTGGATTTGAGTCACTACCAAATACAACACTCAGATTTGAGTCACTAACTGAATGGTCAAATTCTTCAGATTTGAGTCACTGACTAAATACAACACTTGGCAGGTGAAGGTCAGACTGTATGAGGCCCACAATTGCTCCAGGCTCAAATGTTATTAAATGCCAAGTGTAAATATAAAATCACTAATTAAAAGTTCAGAACTGTACAACATAATCTGAATGTTCTTAAATCAGTCCCTATTTGTTGTCCCTCAGTGGCAGACAACATCCCTGAACATTCCTGGGGAGCAGAGAATAACGGTCCCTGTTATTGACAGCAAGTGGTTCACATACTATTTTTGGTTTACATACTACTTTTGTTAACTACTGTACTTGGCATAAAGGACAGGAGATCAGAAGGAGTAGTTAAAAGAGAAATGCAACAGATTTCAATGTTTTAGGGCATCTTCTGGTCTCATTTACACATAACCTACTGACCTGGATTACATTCATGTGACCAAAAAGGAAAAAAATTCTGAACAATTTAAATTAGTTCATTTATGAAAATTAATTCCTTGCTCTGTCAGATTAGCCTAAACTCTCCTCTCTGTTTCTTTTAAATAATACATACAAAGGCAGTGTTTCAAAGAAGCATGAATGCAGAGAGATTGTATGTGTGCATCTCAGTGGATGGCTGTTCATGCACAATTCTTGATTTTGGAAATGAGTTATTGGGGGAATAAAGTAATTTCATACAGAACTTATGATGCCAGTGATAAAAATGAGGAGGCAATTAGAAGAAGCCACTCTGATATATGCCAGTAGAAAAATGGCCATGTGAAATGTCCAGAATTGCCTCCCTTGTTTTCCATTGCATCTACATGGTATTATCATGTGCTTGAGCACAAGCATGTGTTCATTTCATGTCTATATAGAAATCATAGTGAAGACACCCAGCTGATGCTTTGCACATAAAAAGCTCTGACTTACCTTTCTTTCCTAAGCCAAAATGAGTGTATTTACAGTCTTCAGTTACCTGGGAGCACATCAAAATAACACTTGTGCTTTTTTTTGAGATAATTTAAAAAAATCTCTATTTACATATCAGATATTTCACTGTGTTTTCCACACCTGACATTTATCAGTCCCTTCTCCAGATAAGCATGACCTCTCTGAAATTCTCTGCCCATTGAATTAGATAAAGTGGGGAATCAAGGAGGGGCAAAACCAAGGTAGTCAGAAATATTAGCAGGAAAAAAACCTCATAAGAATTGAGGCCAACAAGATAAATTCATGAATAAATCTATGTTGTCTGGATGTCAAAGAGGCAAAACAAATGTCAAAAAAAAAGCAGTTTTGCATTTTTCACTCAAGGAAGCAGAAAGGAAAATATAAACTTTACTCAATATGGTAACTTGGCCATTCCTCTTTGGGAACAGCTTGTATTCTTCTGGCACACTGTTTAAACTCTAGCAGTCACAAACTGCATAAGCTTTCACACATTTGCTACCTTAAGGGCAATGACTCCAAAACAAGAAAAACAATTTGACTTTTACCTTGGAATTGATTGACCTGTTGCACTGGATATGGACTTCGCTGTTGATGCAGATGCTGCCGAGGCAAATGTGACTGCTGCTGCATCTGCTGAAAATGAAGGACGGAAAGAAAGCAGAAAAGAAAGATATGATTAATTAATTAATGGACTGGTGGCAAACCTGCAGAACTTGCAGTGGTTCTTATCTGGTGAGGTGTTTTGGAGAGACAGGCAGAATCATTTGGAGACCCCTCCTTAGAGCACTTGGGCTATTTAGCACTCAGACTCTTTTTGGCTCAAAAAGGAACATGCACTGAGGCAAACATCATTGCTCCTTACTTACAGCCATTTCATCCTGACCTCTACAGCATGAGCTTAACTGTCTTCAGGCAGTAAGGAGAGAGAGGGATGTGAACGAACTTTGCTCACTTAGGTGTAAGGGCAACTGCAGCCACACACACATTCCTTCCCTCAGTCCTGCCGAAGTCCAGAGGTTTGTATTCCTGGTGCAAGACTTCACTCCATGCCTGGACTTATAACACTCAGCTGCAAGGATTACTGCATCCTGACCCAAACACTGCAGCCTTGGAACATTCCTGAGCCAAAGAAATGGATTACTAAGGCACATTTCCTTTTGTGCTTCAGTGAATGATATCTGGGGAGTGATGACTGCAAAATGCTGCCTTAATCCAGACCACATTGCTCCTCTGTGGTTGTTTTCTATGAATACTTGTTAATATTTTAAAACAGAACTAAGGGCTGATTATAAAAACAGACCTTTCAGATGCTAAGGTGTACTCAGCTAAGCACTTACTGAAAGGGCATGTCTTGCAGCATCATCTGCAGCTGTACAAATACTGTGTCCAAAACCAATGATGTGTAACAAAGGTATGAGAATGGCAGAGATAGGAAAGAAGGAAGTACTAATCTCTGCATTCATAAGTATGTATTACAGACTATCAAAAAGAAAGAGGGACTCCTGTTAGGCATGAACTACCCCAAAGCTAGGAGCCTGACGACTGTGACTTTACCACTTTTCATCTCTGAAAAGTATGTCAGCACTCTTGACAGCCTCACCTTGGTGACTTTTTAACACTTTTAGGCTTGCCTTCAGCATCCAAGTCACTGACTGGGTCTTGGCTTTATGCATGTGAATTGGCCCGATCCATGGGATGCAGTACTGCATCCTCACTCTCATGCACTTGTTCATGCTTGAATCAGTTCAGGCGTCTTGATCCTAAATATTTCTAGGATCATCCTTCCTGTTCACTGAGAGTAAATTTTTCTCTTTCTCAGGAGCAACAGGAGAAAGGAGGGGGGAGATAATCTGTATTTCTGTGGTTACGTGGCATGCATGTGTTCTAACACAAATTTAATCAAATGGTCTTAAGCTGTTTTTCCTTAGCAAGAGAGGAGAAGCAAAGCTTAAAGCAACTGTTGACCCACTAGAGCATTATCTAAGTAACATTAGGGGCCTGCATCTTTAAACTTGGGTATGATCTTGTAGGAACTCAACAGTGTGACTTTCCACTGGCTTTCTCTTGGGCTGCTTTAAAACTACAGCTGAATTTAGCACACACCACCATTCAGACTGTGTAGTTTAACATCCATATTGCAAAGCACAGGAGCTCAGAAAGCCAGGTGATAGCTCCAGTGCAGCTCTTCCACCATGCCACTGCCAGAGGTGGTTTTAGTGTTCTCCCACTTCAGTCTCTGGTTCTCCCCTTGGTGCTGTCTCTCCCTTGTATAACCTAATTGCTCCTACTGGCACTCAATGAACCAGATTAAGGAATTGGTCTGGGTTAATAGTAACATTTTTCTTTGCTAAGTCTTCTTTTAACCCATTTTTTGTCTCAGATCCCTGTGCAGCTGTGCAGAGATTTTGCTAGTGCAAGACCACAATCAGAGGTAGGGGAGAGGATCTGTGACTGTAACTGCAGCTGAGTCTGTTTCTGCTGGAGTAAATGCACCATTAGATGCCAGGTTAAGAGCTACCTTTTCCAGTGCCTAAAATCCAATATGACTATCAAGCCTACCACTGGAAACACAGGCAATATTTGTCAAGCAAATGGTAGGACTGATACAGTTGCCTCTTCTTTGACAACCATTGCTGAACCATTTTCTTCTTGTGAAGACCCACAGAGCAAGAATTCCCAAATCTAGAAGGAAGGGCTGGTGCTGCGCTGTCTGTAGCGCTCATGCTCATCCCAGCATGCATTGGAAACAGACGGATACTGTACCTGCTCTGCTAAGATCTGCTGCTGCTGCTGTTGCTGCCTCTGCTCTCGGAGAAACTGCTGTTTCTGCTGCTCCATCACATGGAGCTGCACTCTCTGCTCGATCAGCATCTGCTTCATGATGGCTGCCTGGGGCTGGCTCCCAAGGAAGGGCCCCCCGGAACTGGTGCCAGTGACTATGCTGTTGGAGCCTGCCAGGACAGAAGGCTGCATGGGCCCTGTGGGCTGAGACAATCCCACCTGGTGCTCCTGTGCAAAGAGAGACGGAATGCCTTGTTACAAGACGGAATGCTCCACAGGCACAGGAAATCACAGCTCATCAAGCTGAGGAGGCACAGAGTCTGTGGGTGAAGCCTGGAATTTGGGGAAATTTGAGAACTTGGAAAGATGCTCATGGCTTGTGACCGAGCCATGGACTGCTGCCCACAGGGAATAGGTTCATCTTTTTTCCTGGAATTCAAAGATCCTCATGTAAAGCAGGAACACTTTATAATTAATTAATAGTGAAATGATGAACTTGTGAGCTAATTTCTTTTCATGCTTCAGAGTCATGTTTTTCTAAGCTTTTTCTCCCTTCTCAAGGAGACAAGAATATTTTCTCTTCTTTTCTGTTTCCTTCTCTTCATAACAGAAATTTAACATAGACCATGGATTGATGAGCCAAGGCGTTAGGTGCACACAACAATAATGGGAGCCAGTAACACTAATTCTTCCCCAGAACCTCAGGATTTAACTCCACTATGTGTTTATTCAAGATTTCCATCCTGCAGCATTGGACCACTGTGTGTGGCTGCAAGGAATCAGGGCAAACGCCTTCCCTGAACACACCCCACTGTTCCTTCATGTTCTAAATCCATTTTGCTGCCTGTTAGTGCTGGGAAAAGCACCGACGAAAGGTCGGGAGGGAAATCCCAACTCGCGTCCCGGTGGCGGACGGGATGAGGATCGGGATCTGCGGAGCCCTCCCGGCTCTGCCGCTGCCGGCAGGTGGCGCTGCTCACCCGCCGCCCCTCCCAAGCGGGTCCAGCGACGTCCCGGGGCCTCCAGGGAGCATTCCCGGGAGTCGATCTTCCAAACCGCCCCAGCCCAGCCTGAGGCTGTCTCGCGGCCAGGGCAAACGGGACTCACGACGTCGCCAGCGCTCCCTAGGGCCCCGGCCCGGCACCACGCCGCCCTTGATGCCGTATTGGAAAACCAGCGACTGCCTGCCCGGTCCCTATCTCGGATGTTAAGAGTCCGTAGAACCTCTGTACCTGATGAATAGAGACGACAGGTACTTATTCAAAACTACCAACTTGACGGAAAGGACCTGTATCACTTTATCATCCTTTCTGCAAAACCTGATAGGGTGAGGTTCAAATTCATCTGCCTCACCGGGCTTTTGAGTTATGTCAGTCACTGTGTGATTTGGGCATACAGAAAGATGATCTTGCAGCACCCACCCCAACCCAGTCAGGGAAAGGGTTAAGTTCAGTGCTGGAGTGTACCTTGGGAAATGAGGACCAGCCTTTCTGCATGAAGGTCAGGTTTTCAAGGACCCTCCTGAGGAAATAATAAAATATAGTTTGTCCACATCTCTACTTTGCACAGATACTCCCTGAAGGGTTCTCTGCTGAAAGGCATCTCTCCAATATTAAGGTTCTTTCCACTCCGAACATCTATCTTGGTTTGAAAGTTCTCTCCCTGTTCCTCTTCCCACTTCTCCCCCAGTCCCATCACCCGTTGCACTTTGCACTTTACAACCTGATCAAGCACAATCCCTGCAGCATCCTAAGGGCCAGGGCCGCAGCAGTGGCTGGGTCTCCCCAAAAGCAGGGTCAAGGAATTGCTAAGGATCCCTCTGCTGCTCCTGCACCAAAAGCCTTCACCCAACCCTGTCACTGAGCTCCTGCTTTCTTTGCTTTGAGGGGGACACACATATTTATTGCCTGCCTTCAGCAGAGCTGATGGCAAAGGCTTTTTCCTACCACCTCCTGGCCCTCCCCTGGCTTCTGATGAGATCATCAAGCTACCAATTGCATAACTGATGCACGGAACTATCCTCTGTTATACTGGGATATGGGCCAACTGCTTCCATTTATAGACAAAAGCAGGGCCACGCTGCCAAATAATGGAGCCTTTGCTTCAGCCACTACAAGGCAAAGAAAAAGGAGAAAAACCTCAGGAGCCAAAGGGCATGCTGTGAAGTGACACCCCTTGGAGCTTCCTCTGCGAGCTTCAGTACACAGCTGCCTTTGGGGCTGCAAGTACTCATTGAATTGCTTTAAAAAAAAAATTCCTATAGAACTCATGTCCTGGCTCTTAATGCACACATGGGTGTAGCTGAGGGACATACTCACTGCATGCAGAAAGCACTCCATTCTCTGGTGGATTATGCTACAAATTAGTTCTGGAGTTTAAGAGGAAGAAAGTTTTGAAAGGACAGCTGATGTGAGCCTGATGCACTGTGCAGCAACTGAAGGAAGCATGAATATCAGAGTACAGATCCAGTGTTGTCAGTTTAGTCATTTTGAGGTACATCATAAAAACTTCCTTTTTCTGTTAAAGTCAGGCCTTCTTCATCTAGACCACCCTCCTGCCCAGAACATTTCTTCTCCTTTCCTTTTTTTCCTTGGCAAAAGTTCTTCCCAACTGATGATGAAAAGCCCTTCTGAGATCACTGGGACAAGGACAGCCCTGGGCTGTGTGTCCTGAAAATAAGAGCACAGCCCAGGAAAAAGGTCTCTGCCGGCAGTAAAATGCTCCCTAGCACCTGGGAGCAGAGGTCTTTCCCATAGCTTTAGCTCTGCAACCTGGCACTGCTGCTGTTATCCTCTGAGGGGAGTGTGTGGAAATGACACCTGGCAATGGGCTATGTGGCAGATAATTGGGGATGAAGGAAGCAACACGACTCTATGAGGCTGCCTCTTACAAACAATGGCAGCTCCAGACCCAGATGCAGTCTCACCACAGGAGCAGAACACCAAGTCAAGCAACTCAGGCTAAGTGCAGCACTTCCACACTTACAGAGCTTAAAACCCAAACTAATCCAAACTTCACTGGACAACCCTCTTTGCTCCTGCTCTGTCTGACTGCTCCCTAATCCTCCTACTGCACCATGAACCTTCCTGCCCCTAGACTTCCTGTTCCTCCTCATTCCCTGCCATGCCTTTCTCCTTCCTACACCCTCTGCCCAGCCTCTGTATCCTCCTTTCTCCACCAACTGTAACTGCTGCCTCTTGCTTCACTCTCCAGACGTCCCCATCAGCACCCAGCCTGTAGCTGCATATCACCCTTGCAGCTGCATATCATCCATGCTGGTCTCCCCAGTGGCCCAAGCTCACAGCTTGGCTCACCCTGTATCTGCCAGGGATCTGCAGCAGAAAGGGGACTGCCCAGCTCTTTCCCCCAGGGTTCTGTGCTCATTTCTACATGTGGGCATGTGTGCATAGGGGTGCCCTGTGGGTAGGTAGTCCCTGAAGAGAGTGACAAGATGCCCTGGAAGGGGAAACTGATAGCATTCTCAGGTTGTGGTATCTGGGAAAATGGTACAGTGGGATTTCTTATTTTTCACCCTGGCTCTTTTTAACACCATTCAAAGCCACTGTGCTGCTCTCAGGCTGCAAACAGCTCTCTCCTGCTAACAGTGGCTTGAGCAGGGTCACAGGTGTTCCTGTTGGGAACAATGGTGCTGCAGCTCTGCTGCAGGGTCTTCACCAAGGGACAGTTGAAGCCAAGAGCTGGTTACATAAAGGGAGGATGGTGCCAAGGCCTCTCAGCCGTGACACAGAGTGAGTTCAAACCCAGGATGGTCCAGCCTCAGCCTCCAGGGAGCCCTCCTGCCCCTGCAACCTCAGCTGTCCACTTTTAAAGCAGCCCAGGACAGAATTAAGAGCTTGGCCCCTGCAGGCAAAAGCAGGTATTGAATGCCTGTTCACAGAGCCAAAAAGCAGCCATTGTTTCTAAATGGTTAGCATAACATACCTGGACAGGTTTGTAGAGCTGCAGGTCACGGGGTAAGATGAACTTGTGCAGGGATCTGCCTACTTATTACTTAATGCATCCACGGGAGTTATCCCCTATGGGAAATCCAGTCCTTAGATAAACAACAGGAAGATAAATCCTGTGTCCTCCCAAGTGTACTTCCAGGGCTCTGCTGGAGTGATGGAATATTCCACAAGGAGCTCAGGGTAACATGTGTGATATGTACAGTTATGCACAGTAAAAGGATAACAAAGGGGAGTGGAAATGAGGTTTTCTTCTTTGTCTCAAATCTTATGTGCCTCTTCTTTATCATGCAGTAATTTATTCCTTCTGCATGTCATTCAATCACCCAACTGCAGCTAAGAGCAATCACACAATTTCCTTTCAGAACAAGCAGAATGAGCACCAGCTGAAGCCCCAGGAACCAGGCAGGGACACCCAAGCCTACCCATCATCCCTCTGTGAGCAGCCTGATAAATGTGGAGGAGCTCTGCTCCTATTGAAGGCCAGGGGTATGAAGTGTCACCTCAGGGGAAAGGGGGCTGTTCCAGGTAACTACTAGCAGAAATCAAGAGAGGGTGGGTATTCCATATCTGGGAGCAAAGTGTTGCCCAAAAAGCTGAGAGAAACACAGACTGGAAAGCAGGGTGTGAATGTGTAAAATGGACAAACAGGCATAATTTCCTGTGCCTTTCTGTGTCATGTGAGCAAATGGATATAGAATATCAAAAGCAAATAAAAGCCAGGAGGTATCTTCCCCTGCACACTGCATCAAAAGAATGACACTAGAAAAATGTATACAATCAGACATCTACATTTTAGAGTCAGAGCAGAAAAAGTAGACAAAAAATTATTTGAGACAGAAAGAAAGAATAAATAAATAAATAAATAAGCCTGCCAGTGAGTGACTTAAAGAGCTCAATCCATTTAGCTTGCCACAAAAAGAATGGAGAGATGCTCTGACCATAGCGGATAAAAATACCTTAATGAGGGAAGAAATTCCTTAAAGATCTCTTTTATCCAGTGAAGAAGGCAAAACCAGATACAAGGACTGGAAGCTGAAGACAGATTCAAATCAGAAAGAAGAATCACATTTTTACCCTCTGATTCCATTACCCATCAGAATCATCAGAGAAATGGCAGACCTCCACAATTTGATGTCTTCCAGGATGAATGCCTTTCTGGATAAACACTAGTGGAATGGAATGGGTATGATGTACAAGGTAGAAGAGCATTGTCCGCCCTCATCTCTGCAGAGTCCTGTCCCCTGTGCTGGGGACACAGGCACTGCCTACACGTCCTTGTGTGTGTCT